CTGGTGGTCCCCCGCTTCCACCCCTAATCGGAGATGGCGGTGCTGCGGGAAGCAGAGGAGCGAAGGCAGGGATGTGGCATCAGCAGGATACGTCTTTATTTCAGTGGCTCATGGCCCATAGAGTCATGGAAATCATGGTTAGGGTTAGAAAGGACCTTAGGATCATACAGTTCCACCCCCCCTCCACTAGACCCCATCTCCCCCTAGCCCATGTCACCCAAGGCTCTCTCCAACCTGGCCTTGAACACTGCCAGGGATAGAGCATTCATCACTTCCTTGGGCAACCTGCTCCGTGATGTGGAGAATCTCCCCCTTCCCCACCCCACAAGCCCTTGGTCCGGAGGTGACAGGGCTGCTCAGCTGTCCCATGCATGGACACCGGTGCGGCATGGTGCCAATGGCCCCGACTCAGAGGCGGGTGGTGAATCGCTGGCCCCTGCATGGGTGAGGACACGGTTGCGGGCACCAAAGAAGATCCTGTGGCTCCTGGGGGTGTAGGGCCCCTGGTGGCGACGGTGATGGCAGTGGGGTGAACAGATGGGGGCTCTGAAGGCCTCCTGGAAGCCCCGTCGGAAATTCTCATTGAAGTAGCCATAGATGATGGGGTTGGCGCTGCTGTTGAAGAAGGCCAGCCAGTGGGCGAAGGGGAAGACATAGACGGTGACCAGGCGGAGCTGGCCCTCGCTTAGCTGGCCATAGTCCGTCAGCAGCATCAGCGTCCAGAGGGGCAGCCAGGAGAGGGTGAAGAAGAGGGCAACAATGATTAGCATGTTGATGACCTTGGCCTTCCGCCGGGAGACCTTCCTCCCCTCTGGCTCCTCTTGGCCATGGGCAGGTGCCACCGACTTGAAGAGCTTGAAGGCAATGCGGGCATACATGACGACGATAAGGGCAAGTGGGGCCACGTAGATGTGGGAGAAGAGGACAGTGGTATAGATCCTTCTCATCCCTGTCTCAGGCCAGGCCTCCCAACAGGAGTAGAGGGGGTAAGAATTATTGTAGGTGTCCACCATGAAGTGGTGCTCCTCCCTGGTGACAGTCAGGGTAATGGCAGCGGGGCACATGATGAGCAGGGCCAGCACCCAGATGATGGCAATTGTCACCAGGGCTTTCCTCAGCGTCAGCTTCTGCCGGAAGGGGTGGACGATGCAGCGAAACCTGTGTGAGGGCAGGCAGTGGTGGCTTTGGGCACCCGGTGGGATATCTCTGAGGAAGGAGGGTAGCCAGGACCCGGGGGTGGGAGGGGACGTTAAGGTGGGTTGCTCTTTACATATGGCTTTTGGTGACAGAGATAGGTTGGGATCTCTCCAGATTTGGTGTTTTCAGCCCAAAGCGGGGAAGGACACCTTGCTGGGCTGCCCCATGGATAACTTTGTGATCCTCCTGAAGATCTGGGACATGCTCCTGGTGTGCCCAGGAGCTTTCCTGTGACGGAAGCCATATGGGATACCAGAACACTCAGGGTGTGGCTAGGACCGCATGACCCACATGTTCATGCCAACATACCTCTCCACAGCGATGGCCACCAGCGTGAAAACAGAGGCAGAGACGGACATGCCCTGCACCAGGCCACTCATTTTGCACATGGTGTTGTCAAAGGGCCAGCCTGTGAAGGGACACCATGGAGGTTGTAGGTACCTTTGGCTTGGACAATTGCATCACCAGTTCCCTCCAGATGTCCCCATCTACTGTGTTGTAGCTGGGGGATGCTGAATCCTGCTTCTGAGGAGGGGCTGCATTTTGGCTCTTACAGAGATGGCCTTTAGCAACAGATGCTTGGAGAAAACCCCCAAAATGGGTAAAAAAGATGCATGTTACACTTCTTAGAAGCTCAAGAAACATGGTGGTTGTAATTTCTCTTACCCTTACGTAGGGCTTGAGGTGTTTTCATGGGAACTGACCTTGTGATCCTTAATCAGAAGGGTTTTTGTCTTGTTTCTTGAACCCAATACTAAGGTTTTGGCAATAAATAAATCATGCCCCGTAATAAATAAATACAGACTCTGCCCTGCGCCCCAGCTACCACTGTGATTGAACTCCACCAACTGTGCCACTGTCACCTTTTATCTTTGGAAAGGTCAATGGGCAGAGCTGAGCCAGCACAGCAGAAAATCGATGCAAGAAGAGGGTTTTTTTTCAGGGTTGCTTGATAGAGAGTGGCTGAACTTTAAATGAATATGTAAATGTGGCATTAAGGTCACTTATTTTGCCAAAAAGGTCCAAAACCTCAAATAAAAAGGTTTTCCCTCCCTCTAAAATAGTAGCTGTAAATGAAAATATACCTTTCATCTGAAATGGTTCAGTGGCCACCACCTGCTTTCCTCATCTCCAGCAAAAATATCACCCACAGGGTGGCCCCATGTGCAGGGGGCAGAAGGTGGGTGATGTTCGCCACCATTTTCTCTCCCCCTGCTTTTGTCTCACCTTCCACTACTCACCCGTGATGAGGTTGTCCACCAAGGTGGTGGGCATGCAGAAAATGCCCACCAGCAGGTCACTGATGGCTAAATTGAGTATGAACATGTTGGTGACCGTCCGCATCTGGCGGTTCTTCACCACGATGAAGCACACCAGGATGTTGCCGATCACGCACATGAGGAAGATGAAGGTATAGGCCAGGATGAACATAGCAGCCACGGGGGAGGAATGCTGGTAGTATGCCAAGAAGGTGTAGTTCTCCCTCGGGAGGTCACTCTCTCTTGTGGTAGAGTTGGGCCAGCTGCCATTGGAAGGGCCTGGGGGAAGGAAGGTAGGAAAGCAAAGCTGGGAGAGGATAAAGCGATTATGCTTTATCCCATGGAGGTGGGTTTCCGTATTTGCACCAGTGCGCAGCCTGGCTGGGATGTGTCTCACTGGCATCATCTCAGTGGCCCAAGAAGTCTCCTCCTCCTTGGGTTACACAGCCCAAGGTATTGCAGCACCTCCTCTGAAGTATTATTTTATATCATTATTATTTTAAATCATTATTTTAATGAAGAATTAAAGCAGCACAGAAGACATCCTGTTATCATGGGATTTTTGTAGGGATAATGCAGGGAAGAGAAATCCATGTCTCAACACTGCAACGCTCTGGCCGTGTGGGAGCCGTGTCTGTGAAGGTCCCCAGCACAGCAAGGCTGGGAGCATCCCTGCTCCTGGGTGTCTGCTGCTGTTTCTCCTTGCAATTCTGAGGTTTTCAATGTGAGATCCCCTAAAATCTTCTCCCCAGCAAACCTCCAGTACCTGAGGGAGATGGGTTGGGGCAGGGAAGCTCCTGTCGTCCCCTTACATGCAAAGCAATAATTATACATAATTATGATCATTATCTGGGACCCTGAGAGCTTCTGATGGAAGGGGGGTGACATTTTGTCACTGCAGGTTTAACAGAGGCAGCGGGTCTGTGCGGCACCCACCCTTGGGTTTCCCCGGCTTTACGCAGGCAGGGACGCAAGAGGATGCCGCGTGCAGGCAGGAGCTGCCTGCAGTGGCGATGGGACTTACTCTGGGCAAACCCAGGCTGCGATTTTAAGACAATAAAAGGCATATTTCTGCTTTAAGGCTCAGCCTAACCACCAGCAGGTCAGCACTGCTCTGAGGAAGCACTGCAAAGCCGCTGCATGATGGGCAGCTGTATCATCCCCCCAGCCCTGTGCCGGTGCTCAGCTTGCCAGCCAAGATGCTTTTCCCATCTGCTGGGACCACTGGCTTCTCTAAGGCTCCGTCACACAGGGGTTGCCTTGCCTGGGTAATATACCCCTGTCCTGGGTGCAGGATTCGGCCAATACGTTTCCAGCGGAGCTTTAGAAAGGTGGCAGGGGGTTTTGCAGCACCAGCGCAGAAGGAGCCTCTTGGAGAGGCAAGGAAACATCAGGGCTATTGGAGCAAGATGCTTCAGCTGGTCAGCATCAGATGCACCCGCATGAGCTGACTTCTTTAGCAGAAGTGATAGCAAAGACTGTAATGAGATTTCCTGAAACCTGTGATATTAAGCCTGAAACTTTGCTGGACTTTATCACTTTGGGCTGCAGTGTCTTGCAGCATTAGTGGGAGGTGGGTATCCTATGCATAAAAAATCACAGGCAATTTCAAAAACGAGGTGGAAAACGAGGAAACAAAATAAAGGGCTACCAAGTGCCTGGGTCGGTGCTGGATAGATGCAGTCCTCCGTTCGGCGCTGACATCTG